CGAGGGTGTCTGACATGTGATGCTCAATGAATGCGATGGTGCTAACAGGTGGCTTCGGAACACGCGGGTGTTTGCAACCTCCACGAAACAAGAATAAATCACTTGTCATGACTTCTATAGTTTGTGATTGACATTGACACAATTCACAGCACCCTTTTTGCAGCTGCAGCGAGCACATGGTTACCCCGTCGCACATCACCGGGCGGGCTAGTCGTAGTAGAGTCGCCGTCGGCCCCCGCCGACCCCGGTTCATGTCGCCGTCGTGGGTCTAACATGTCCCCTGCTCATCCTGCACATCTTGGCGGGGACCCTGGCAGGTCGGATACCGCGGTTCAAGGGTTCGCCACATCCTTACCAGGGGGTTACCCTAGGTTCGGTCCGGGGACAGGGGCAAGATAAAGGTTGTCGTTCCACCCTTCGGGAGGTTTGCTGTCAAGGCCAGGAGTTCGACATGGATGGTGACGACTGCTGGGCCCAGATGCGTCCAGAACGTGTCGTTCTATTCGATTGGGTTTTCGTGGTTCTCCTGTTGGTGCAAGAAACGCTGGAGCTGACGCCTTCACCGAGTCATTGTTATCAATGTGATACGTGATGGGTATTAAGGTTCAAGTAGATCGAATGATCAGGAGGAGCTCATAGAACCATAGCACCGCAAATCACCCTGGACCTCACTTATATGAAGCTTTGCCTCGAACAACATTCGCATTGATTTGCATGTAGTGGAAACCATTCAATACATGTTAGGGAGGCTGAGAGACGTGAGACAACCTCATTAGATAAGTTGCAAAAGATTCATCGATCGAGCTAAGACAATTTCTCCTGGACGGCCTTGCGACGTCGAGATGACCAAGAATTGTAACTCACCATGTGGCAAGTGGCAGCTAAGCAGGGGTTATCTTGCTGAAATCCGCTGGGCAAATTCATGCCCGTGTTGGGATCGTGTTTTCAATAGGGATAGGGACACCTAGGTTCTCATAGACCCTTGGCCTGCGTCTTATCTTTCAATCTGCTGGCAGGTTGCTGTTGAATAATCATAATCTTCAATGCTGGATCTTTGTCACATATTGTTGAAGTTTGGAATTCTTCTGTTCCTAATTACAGGAGGAACGGCTGGTAGTTACCATGCGGTAGTCATGAGACTCCCTAAAGTTTTGCGACCACTCAACTCCATTGTCCCAGGATAATCCCATGTCAACGGATCACTTATCCATCCAAGTCCAGATTATGGTGCTGCTTTCCTTCGATTGAGTCAGTTAGGACCATATCCGCACATAAATACCATCTCTCGCTTGTAGAAACCCATCTCTCCCTTTTCACGCATGAAGAAAAAGAATCTCCTCCGGGGTCGAAGGACGTCTAACTCCACAAAGAGCCTGATAGAAGCCTCTGAGATGCGGCGCATCATTAACAAGAAGCTCAATGACACCATCACTGGGATTCCCAGCTAGAGAACGCTTGATGACTTTCATTGAAGCCAATGCGCCGTTGACAGTGGGCGGACCAAGGAGACTTTGTCGTGACTGATCTCGATGATGGACAAACAAAGCGTACCGCTGCTGTGGCACACATTTCTGGAAAGCCAATATTGAATACAGTCTTTGCTGTCTCAGCTGCGGCGCGTAAGGCGGAAGTTCCATTCCCATCAGCATATATAAATTAATTCGAGAACTATACACTCGAAGAGGGCCTTGTCTTCAGTCATTGCGCGTGAGTCACTTCAGATTGAGATTGCTACGACAAAGCTACTGAATAGACTACAACGTTGGCACCCTGTGAGGCTGACCTCTCCATGGATATGACACACTGGTCGGGCAGATAAGATCGTGCGAGTTGTGCCAGATCTATCTCATCAGCGGTGAGATTCATTTGCTATTGGTTCGGACTGTCGAGGCGACAATTTCGTCTTGTGCCGGTCAGTTGACACGTGGCCTTATCACTCCAGCGCTGGTTCATGTTATTTCGGGGCGGTCGCCAGCTTGCTCGAGGACCGTCGTATAGGATTGGCACTGTCTTCATAATATCATCTCAAGCGCGAATGACGATGTTCGCTTGCAAGACTTGCACAGGCGTAGCATAACATTCATGCATTCGAAAGATCATTTGCGGCCGACACGCCCATAGAGATCAAGTGCACATATTTACGCCACGCCATGAGCAGCCGCTCCTGATCAAAGGCAGGTATAGCGCGGGCCATCAGCTTGGGTTCATCACTAGTAAGCTTGACCAAAACTGGCCACTTCTGCCAGCTGAAATCGTCTCTCTCTATAGCTATTGCCTCAAGCTATTCGTGTTCCGCGTCCGATTTTACCATAGCCTGGGCGACAGGCTCGTGGCACCGAGCTCGGCCGCCGACAGCCACTTCGGGGCCTTAAAGTACTGCGACCGGGCGAATCAACTGGGCACCACAAGCCGTGCGGGTCCGCCTTTGTCCTTTCCAAGAGGCCGATCGTTCATCTCAAAGGCTATGAGGACCTCGGCGCATAAGCCTTTGCCAAAGGCGGATCCTCTGATATCAATATGAGGTGACGCCGGCAAACGTCCGGTAGTCGAGTCCCTCCGAATGTCGGTCCACTTGACATTCCCGATGCGCCATGAGATCTTCGTGGGAGGACTCGCCAGGCTGCCACAAGAATCATGGAATGATGTGGTGGAGAGTACAGGAAGGCAGCGTAGCTAGTCGATGGCCGAGGCCTAGGGAGGTCGGACGAGCCCATCGTCGACCGATATTCACTGATCCATGTAAACGATAGCAGCGTCCACGTCCAATGTCTGAATTAATTCATCCTCCGATGTGAGAAACGCCGCTAGCATACCAGGCGCGGGTGGCTGTCTCATGGTGAAGCCAACTTGGCAGATGGCAAGAGAAGCTTAGCGATGCTGCCTGGCTTGGGGAGAGCCAATGCAGTATGTGATAACATCTTCATGGACGACGTCACAGCGCCCCGGCGGTATAACACAACAGTCAAGGTCAGGCGATCAACATTTTCGGATGCTCGGTGAGAAATTGCAGGCAACTCTCGAGCCTTTACTATTCTGAAGTCACTTGGGGCAGGTTATGGCGTGAGAAACCAGCCTGTAGACGCAGAGGGCGCTGCTGGACGGCCCAACGCCGTTCGGTGAAGATGATGCCCGACACGCTCGGCTCGGCCGTGGCCTTAGAGTGTCCTAGGAATCTGAGCGAGATAGGTGTCTGTTGATCCGATACTTCACATTGGCGCCCCCACTCTTGTCAGGCTTGTTTCCTCAATTGAAACGGCTGTTGGTCTTGGTCTAGCTGTAAACACCATTACACGTGACTGCGCGATGGTTTCGCTTCTCGCTCAACCCAGCTTGCAGGGGACGCGCGGTAAATCGCGCGTGGGTCAAGATGGTGCCACCTCAACGTTTTGTCAAACTTTGATCGGCTGACCATGATCCGTAGGCCACTAGGCTCCTCGGCTGCGTACGAGACGTGTAAAAATATCACACTCAGAGGGTCGCTTTGCATCTCTGTGACTCAGTTTGCGGTGAGCACTGAACCAATACGAACACGAGTCGAGCCAGATGTGAAGCCTGTGCCTGAAAAGGAGGATTTGGCCCGGCGTTCTTGTCAATAATGGGGACCGTCTATGATGCAATGACGGGTCTCAAGATGAGAAAGATGTGCCAGGAAGCAAGTCTGATCTCTACATGGAAACAGAGTGCGCAGTGCAGGGCAATGGATCCCATCATATGTATTTTCCGAGTCTCAACGACCGGGCCCGGATGGAGGGAAGTTCGGGGCATGAAAGGGTGGTTGAGCAGTCCAAGATCGATTGGCAGCGACGAGCACCGGTTGATGACCGACTGACCTCGCAGCGAGTGGGATGGTGGTGCATTGCCACAGTCTGACCACTACTGCGAAGGTCCGAGATGGCCGGCTGTGGTTGATTCAGGTTGATTCAGCATCCAGACACGAAGAAGAAAGAGTAGCCTTGGGGGTTCCGAGGTCGTTCCGCAGCCCCTCCTCGGTATTCTCTCGGTGTTTCCCACGTTTCTTGGGACGTCGCAACAGGGATAGCACGAACTCTGATGGCGTTCGGCAGCTGACGGCTCGACGACCGGGCTCCTGTGAATGGCCAGAATTTGCCCCTCACCATGCCTGCCCCACCACGACAACACCTGCCACTGCGAGGCGACACACACGAGAAATCGATGCGTCGGCCGAGGTGCGTTTTCGAGATCCCCAAGCTCCCACTTCCCCAGACAATCCCAATCGACGACAAGCAACTTGCCCAATACTCAAGTTCCCGTTCTCGAAGCAATTCGGACGCGAGCTGGGTCCTTTATACCCCGGGTGCCCACCCCCGACTTTTATGCCCGCCCGCCTTCCTACGCCATGGCGGACCTTGATGGCGACAGCCCACCCTCACACCGCCGCTGCGGGGCCTATTCTTAGCTTTCCCCCGCACGGCAGGTCCAGACGGGGGACCCAGCCAGTCATTGCATCATGCATCAGGTTGCCCCCTCCTCTGCCAACTAGCCCGACACCTGGGTCTGCTGGGAAGCCGCGATGTATGTCGGACCTTCCCTGACAAATGACAAATTTATGTTTTCGGCCACAGCGCCAGCCAACGGGAGCAAGGGATTCGTCATGCTCCTCACTGAAAATTGCCCAAACGGGAGCAAACGGGAGGGGGGGCGGCCGGGTTGCAAAGAACGGATCTCCCCAAGTGGGCGTCCCAGATATATACTGTTTAATTGACGGTGTTGTGTTTGGGTTTTTTTGGGGGGGGTGCGAAAGGCCCCCCCCCCCTTCCTTCGGTTCCGTTTTATAAAGTAAA